TCTTTCTTTCTTTCTGTCTTTCTTTCTGTCTTTCTTTCTTTCTATCTTTCTTTCTTTCTTTCTTTCTGTCTTTCTTTCTGTCTTTCTTTCTTTCTGTCTTTCTGTCTTTCTTGGTTGAATATCTACTATGCCCTGGGCACTAAGGTCACTGAAGATCCAGCATGAACAGTGGAGAAATAAATTTGCATGTATTCTGGGAAGGGGGATGAGGCTGGGAAACATCTTCTATCCTTACCTCTTCTTTTTTTTTCCCATTAGCATTTACACCACTTAGTCTATAGTTTTGTGATTTATCATGTTTGTTGTCTATCACCCCCACTATGATGTAAGGCTCAAATGTTCAGAATGTTTGTCAGCAAGTAGGGCAGCCCCAGGTAGGAACTCAGTTCATGTTTGTCTTTGAGTTAATAAGTTAAGCATACAAGGTGTGATGTTAACTGCAGAACAGAAATACAGACTGGTGGAAGACGGTGCTGGCTGCCTTTTAAATGAAGTGGTGGGGTTGATTCACAGATAGGAGACTGAACTAAGGTCTGAAGGAGGCAAGGGCATCAGATTTAGAGATTCCTGAGAGCCATAAGTGCAGATCAGAGGTCAGAGATGAAAGGCCATAGTAACTAGAGCAATGTGCAAGGGAAGGAGCCCTGGAAAAACAATAGTGAGATGGAGAACCTGGAGGGGCCAGATCAGCTGGTCTGGAGCAACAGAAAAGAAGACAAAGCATGTGGACACAGACTCAGTGAGCCAGTGAATAGAGGCAGAGAGCTCATGCTGTTCTGATTTGTCTATGAAAGAAGGTCATTTTGCCAATGAAAGGTGCAGGTCACTCACTCCTGCCTCCCCTGAGGTTGCGCCCTGTGGACTTAGAGTGTTTGCTTTGCTGGTCCCTCTGCCTCTTGGAACCCAGTTCAAATGTCACCTCTTTGAATAGCCCCCACCTACCCGGCACCTCAGATGGCCCCTTCTCCGGCCCCATAGCCGCAGGCACATAACTGCGCATCACTCTGTCTCCCCCTGTGGACTGAATTCTGACATGGTTGGCTCAGATCTCTCTCTCGTACCTTACCTGTTAATTTTTAAAAGAATGATCATTAGATTACCAACTGTTAGCTTACTTTTGAAGAACAAATATTTTATACCATAAATGGGGGGGGCTGATTTTTATGCATACAGTCTGGTTTTGTCCAGAGTGTGTGTGAGTGTCTCGCACCCCTTACCACATTGCCATGGCCAGCCCCAACCTGAAAAGCACTTTCCCCTTCCAGAGCAGCTTACTCCTCTGGGAGCCTGTGCCATCTTCCTGCAGAATTAGGTGAGCCCTCAGCTTGACAGCCCTCAGCTGTCAAGACTGTCACGCCTTCGTGGCCTAAGGCCTGCTCTGCAGCTGAATGTGCTTCCACATCAGGGCCCCTTCCTGGTGCATCCCTGGCCCTGGCTCATTGTCTCATTGTAAAGGCTGAATAAACTTGGAATATGGGAATTTATAACTATTTGCAGATTTTCTTCAAATAGTTACTGTGCTAGTGATGTCAATGAAGAGTCCCCAACTCAGTTTTTTCATTTTTT